TTGAAACTTGATTTAAGTATGTCTCTGAAAACCCGAGGCTCATACTTCGGATCAAGTATCGCGGCATTGAAGCAGTGCCCTTTTTCTGTCTGGTAGGATCTTTTTGGAAGCTGACTGATTCGAGTTGATCTTCGCACGTAGTTCGGATGGTCTGGGTGGTCTAGGGGTGGTTTAGGAGGGATTACTTTCAGACGAGGTTGCTTTTCTTCTGGGGTTGTATTTGAACTTTCCTCCATATCAGAGTCGCTGTCCGCGGATTCTTCATCCAAAAGGGTTTGCTGGTCAGAGATAGTGTCGATTTCTTTAATTTCTTCATCTTCAGGACTTATTAAAAAGTCTTCCGATGGCTCGTCACCTTTTTCGGGAAAACATGTCTCATCAAAAGATACATCATGCACATTGATTATCTTGTGGCTTTCGTAGTCAAAAACCAGGTAATTTCGGTTGAATTCATCGAAACCAACCAAGATCCCCTTCCGAGATGTTTCGCTGAATTTGTGATCTCGTTGCTCCGATCGATTATGAATGTATGTTAGGCATCCAAAAGTGCGTACATAATCCAGATTGGGTTTATGTCGGTACCACAGCTCGTATGGTGATTCCATCAAGCCATTTCGAGCGCGGTTGAACACTCGGTTTTGGACGAAAACAGCAGCGTCGCAAGCTAAACTCCAGAATCGTGAAGGGACTCCGCTGAAGGATAGGAATGATCTCGCTTTAGTCGCTATGGTTCTCATGTACCTTTCCACTAATCCGTTTTGTTGTGGGGAATATGGAGCGGTGGTATTCTTAATGATACCGATTGAGTCACAGAAAGGAACAAGGAGTGAATTGATGAATTCTCCTCCACCGTCGGTTGTAATCATTTTTACTTTCCGATTGCAATGTCTTTCGGCGCGGGTGATGAAGAGATTGATAGCATGAAAAATTTCTTCCTTAGTTTTTGATTTCAAGAAGAAGATGAAAGTCATTCGGGTGAATTCATCGATTATTAACATGAAATATGAATAGTTGAAAATACAAGGTATTCGGATGATTCCACTAAGATCTATGTGAATATTGTCTAGAGGATCACGGCTAAGGGGTTTTGTGCCAGTGAAGGGAAGTTTGGTCGACTTAGTAAGTCTACAGGTATCACAGTTCAAGTCTAGTTTTCCAGTTACTTCCATCGATTTCCTCAAATAGTCTTGATTGGCGTGGCCTAGTCGGTTATGTGCTGTTTTGACATCAATGGCGTTAGCTTCATTCGGCTCCTTTTGAGAATTGAGGTGAAAATTGCTAACCGGTTCTATTCTGACCACCATCAAGTTATTGACGTATCGTCCTTCCATAAAGATTTCTCCATCAAACGTGATTTGGAATTTTGAGGGATCATTCGGGTCTTGAACTTCAACTGCCCCCTTTCGCTTGAGAGCTCCCGCGGCAATGAGGTTGTTGCGAATATTTGGGATGTATAGTGATTCTCGGAGAGTGAATTTATCGATTGAGATTCCTTTAATCAAGACTTCACCAACCGCTTCTACATTGAGTTCTTCTGATCCGGCTGTCATTATAGATTCGAGCTTCTTGGAATTGTTTTTGACGTTAGAGAAGAACCGGAAATCATTGAACATATGGCTTGAAGCGCCAGTATCCCATATAGCCTCGAACTTTGAGTGAACTAGATTCGCTTCGTGTCCATAAGCTACGAAGACATATTCGCTTTTCTTCTTTGGGACGATTTGAGTGAAGAAGACTTCTCCTTGGGATTTTTGATTTGGCTGATCGATGTGATGGTTGACTTCGGTGTTGTTTGCTTTAGGCGGTGTGAGGCCTCGCTTCTCATACCATTCTCGTTGAGCTTGGGCGTTTTCAGGGCGATGGAAGCATTTATTGGCTGGGTGAGGGCCAATGCATTTAGACACAGTGCATTTTTGTCGAAAACCGGATTGTGCGTTTTTGGTGGTGTTGTTGGCGAGTTTGAGGTTGCTCATTGCGTTGTTGATTTTTCCGGAGTTTGAGAACGAGAATTCGATATTTTCGTCCTCGTACTGTTTCAGGGCATCAATGACAGCGCGGGTGGTGATTGGCTTGACAGTTCGTAGGATTGTCCTAACCTCGGCGTTGTGGGAATCGCTTAGGGAATGTAGTAATCTTCTACCAAGTTGGGCTTCGTTGATGTGCCCTCCTCGATTTGCTAGTTCGCTTTTCAGTTTTGAAAAAGCGTCGATGTGTGCGGTGATGGATGTTTTGAAGTCTTGAGTGAATTTTTCTATCTTCGATTGAATTAAATATAAGTTTGCTTCATTATCTGACTGGTGGAATGTCTTTATCGCGGTCCAGAGGTGGGCTGGTCCTTTGACGGATTCTGGAATCTGACGAATGAGTTCTTGATTTTTGTCTTCCTCGTCGTCTTCATCTATGTCGACAAGTGGTATTGTGATGTCGTTGTATGCGGCGCGGAATCTTGTGGAGTTGTCTGAATCCATTCTTGAATACAGGAATTCAAGTATGCATCTTCTGTTGATATTGTTGACATCGTGCGAGACTCCATTATCTTCGTAGAACTTATCGATAACGTATCCATGAAGGAAAAGAATTTCGAGAGATCCAAGTATTTGTCTTGACCAGACCATGAAGTTGCTGTCGGTAAGGGACTTGATTCCTTTGATTTTGTTCAGAGTACCGGATAAACCGAAAGCGTGAGCTTGATCGTTACTTAGGATCATGCCTCCACAATGTGACGCATTCTTGATTGCCATCTTTTGGTTCTCGATGGCTGGATCAACGGTGTTTGTCGGCATATTGAATTGATTATCGATCTGAAAGCTCTCGCTACCATGTAATAATGCCAACAATTCGCAGACACCTGATGACAAAAGAATTATGAGTCGGAGTTGTTCCACTAACAACGACGACACCTGAGATCACACACACACACCTGATGACAAAAGAATTATGAGTCGGAGTTGTTCCACTAACAACGACGACACCTGAGATCACACACACACACCTGCACGAGCAAAGTGAGTTGCGGGAAAGAAAAGTATTTTTTATGATGAAGGACACGCGAGAGATAATTAGTTTCTCTTTCTTCACATGCAAGATTGTTTTGAGCGTGTTTTATTGATTGATAAAAGAAAAGACAGATAATGAAAAACACAAGAGTTCATAAGAGAAATAGAAGATAAGAAAACAATATCACACCTGATGACAAAAGAATTATGAGTCGGAGTTGTTCCACTAACAACGACGACACCTGAGATCACACACACACACCTAGTAGAATAAAAGATTTAAGAGATATAAGCATGAATGTTAAAAGAAAAAGAGACATGAGATTATGAGAGTGTAAATGAAATGAAAACAATATGGGTGCATACCTGCACGAGCAAAGTGAGTTGCGGGAAAGAAAAGTATTTTTATGATGAAGGACACGCGAGAGATAATCTATAGTAAAAAGAAAAAGAAATAGAGAAAGAAAAGAATTAGTCCTGATCGAGATGTTTTTGTTTTTGATGAGAGTTTTGATGAGTGTTGAATCGGACTTACTAGTTTCTCTTTCTTCACATGCAAGATTGTTTTGAGCGTGTGAAGAAAGGGAAACTAGAATTTGCGGGTGATGGGAGTGATTTTGTAGGTGAGTCGGAGATGAGTTAGGTTAGGTTTATCGTCTCGAGAACGGTGAGAATTGCGCTTGAGTTTGCGTGACTGCGTATCCTGTATACGCAGTTGTGCAAGCTCGTATTCTAACAGGGACCTGTAAATTTGAGTTTCAAGTACACTGGCAGGTTCCAGCCAAAATCTCACATCATCTTAAGTAACTTTGAACACCATAATCAACCTCCAGTTCAAAATAAGAGCACACTTCCAAGTATAATTTTTGATCAAATTTCAACAAGCAGAAAAAATGTGTGAAACCTAACCATCTCATGAAGCAAAAGAGACTGTAATTAGGGTCTTGTGAATCTCTGAATTCATCAACTACAAATTCTACTATGGCCAGTACAGTTTGAACAAGGTATTTTTTTTGTTGGTGTAGATTCACCTATGTAATCCTGGTTTTTCTGGGAATAAGCTGTACAGCACAGGGTCACTTGATCCTGGCTCCCGCACAACAGTCCTCTGATCATGCTCACATCCTTCCTTCGCATCGTCCTCTGGCGTACGATCCTTGGAGCCGCGCACTCCCGTCCGGACATTGACGTATACCGCCATTCTACATTTAGGTTTGTTGCACTCATAGTAATTCTTAGTACGCGATGCCTGGCAAATCCCGCCAGCTTCGAGCTTAGCCCCGCAGGTTGTCCCTGTTTTCTGCATGGTGGCGATCTCGTAGGCAGTTTGAGTTTTGCAATTGGTACACTTAACGATGGTAACGCAGTTCACATTGCAGACGCTCGAAAGCGCGAGGGTCAGCGCAACAATGGCGAACAGTTTCATCTTCAGGCGTTTGGAATCGAGCTGCGATCGGAGTCGAACTTGTGTTGGCTGGTTGAGACGTGATGGTCGGGTCGGGGTAGTGTATAGCAAAGGTTATTTGCTGACCATTGTCCTACTTGAGGATGCGGAGTTGTCTGACTTGTCTCGCTAGGTTGCTGCGTGCCCAATGACCACCCAAGTATGCGGGGATGATGATTCTGTTGTGCTTTGATCGATCGAAGGCATCTTCATCTATTCTCAATGATCATCATACCAGCTACCTACGGACAAGACTAAAGTGATGACTAGAAAAAGACCAGAAAGACGTTGCCGACTCATTCCGGCTTTTGAAAACATCATTGGGGTTGTCATTTTGTTTTTGCACACTATCTACCAAGCCGCTCAATCCGATGGTCACCCAGCATTACAGCCACCTGGACTTTCTAAAATTCACATCATCATTTTCAATCCAAAATCAGATCACACTTCAAAAACTGTGGTCAGTTGATTCAAGATTAAATCTCTTCTGGCTTGAAATTTATTTGCTTTTTGATCACAATTTCTTTTCTTACCTCCCCTCAAAGCTGACAGCTTGTTTTGCTAGATTTTATCTGTTGTTCAATTTTTTATCTGAATTTGCTCTTCAAAAACAACTGATCAACATTTGATTTCTAGCAGCAGAAATGGGCCAATTTGTTACATCACAAGATTTGGCTGTAAATTTGTAACAGATTGACTGGAAAGACAAACCAAAACAACAATGGATTCTGGGGTCATTTTATGTATCAAATGTTTAGAATGAAAACATTTTATAAATTTGATAGAATTCATTGTAATTTGAGATTTGACATTCCTGGCTCAATTCAATACATTCACAACAGAAACCACTAGTGATGATGTTTTTATAATGAGACAAACATCTATTTCACATTATAACTAGGTGCAACACAATTCTGAGCCTAGGATTAACAAAGGCAATGTTAGTGCTTGATGAAATTTAATCAAGTACAAGGAGTTGTTAGCTGCATCTCTGAGACTCACAGGGGGTGGGAGGCCAACTTGACAGCACATTAGTGAATCAGACCCATTGCAGGTTTGTGATTTGGGTGGTGAATAGACTGTTTGAGCAGGGATTTAATCCAGTCAAGTAGGTTCAGTTTCAACACATAAAGCATCCAGTATCATAAAATAAAAAAGGGCAGATTACATACGGCCTGAATTGCCTGAACACATAAATGCACTGCCACTTGGACAGCTTGCACCAGCTAAGATCTCAGAGACCATGCCCATCATAAGTATGATGCCAAAGGCTTGTGGAATTTTAGAAATGTTGAAGTTCATAGTCACAGCCTTTATCAAATGAATCAGTTCCTGGTCTTCTTGACGGATGTCTTTTTATTGGAAAATAGATGCTCTAATTCTACTGGGATTTTCTTCAATACTTGTTCGGTGTTGGTTGGGGATATCTGCTATGAGGCCTGAATGGCCCCTCTTATATAGACCTGGATTATCTAGGAACCGTGTCATGCTTTGGTTACCCAGGATATCGAGAGCACACTCGAAAACAAGCCTCGGTGACATTTGTTTATGTGCCAAAAAGCTTGATTCCGAGATCTGCTGTAAAGCTCAGTGGGGAAGTATCGACAGGGGCTGTTCGCTGCGGTGCTACTACCATATCTACCTAATAAATGAAGGTGTTGCCGAGTCCCGACTTATGCAACGATATGGCGATGCCAGTGCGATGACTTCCCTCGGTTTATCTGACCTCGGTCACGGCCATGGATCAATAATATACACCAAAATGCAGACTGGTGCGAAATAAACAACGTCATAAGCGAAGGAATTCTCATCCGTTGCCTTGAAATCCTTGCGATGATATTAATTAAGCAATAGTTTGGTCAAGTCCCTAGTGAGACTATGGTGCGGAGAACTTTCAGAATTATGAAATGTAAGAGTGGTTGGAGCTTATCTACCGGAGTCCGAAAAGGGTTGACCAGCTATATACTGGCGCCGTTAACACCAGCGCTCACGAGCGCTGTGCGACCTCCGAAGGAGGCACTGGCAACCAAGCCGCAAGCGGATATGCCTGGCGCGGCCGTGCGCAAAGAAAAACTTCATTTCAGCGCTACTTACTCCTACATAATCTGCTACCAAAACAAGCTATTTTCAGAAAGAAAACCTGCTACACATCCAAATCTTGAGCTTAATCTTCTCAAAAATTCAGCGCCTCTATGTCAGGCAAGCTTGTCTGACAATGCACAATCCCAGTACCTCTTGAGGACAACTCAAGATGAAGAAAGAGCATCCAGAGGAAACCTCTACCAGAAACATTCAGCAAAACAGAGCTCCAGTGAAGTCCATATATGGCCTCCCTCAAGTTGACTGATGATGAGGTGAAAAAACTGTGACTACAGTATGGATGATGGTGTGGAAGGATAAATTGCCTCATTAATGGTGAGAGAAACACTGAGAAGACAGAAGAAAGGAAGAAAGAGAAGCAAGAAAACAATGGACAAGACTTTCCTGGGACCCCCAAATGATGGAGTCAAGAAGGCTTCCATCCACAAGACCGCTGCTGTCCCAGACATGTGGCCCAAACCAAGGACATGAAATGACACAAACAACTCAGCTACCAGACCACTCAGCATTGATAAAGAAGAAGAGGAAGAAAAAAAAGTGACAGATGTATTATTGGAGGACCCTGGAAACCCCCATAAATGTGGGTGACAAAAATCTGGGAATTTTGACTAAATTTATACATTGGGGCCACCGGGGAATGGCACATTTGGGCCCATTCATACACATTTTGTGCATATGCTTGGGCTAAAATCCCCTGGAAAGTGAGGAAATCCCCCGGAAGAGGTGGGGACCGCACCATTTGGGGGGGGGGGGGGGGTTCCTTCAAGTTATCAGATATTCATACATTTTAAGCCTGTTTGTGTGTAACCTTTCAGGCAACCAAACTCATTCATACCACTTTTGTGTATATGATTTTTGTTTAATTCATACATTTAGGTCACCCAGATAGTTTGGGGGTTTCCAGGGTCCTATTATTGGATAGCTATCAAGAAGCGCAAGGAAGTTCAGAGAAACCTTGAGAGACATGCTCTGACCAATCTGATATGAATGCTTCCCAATCTCAGGGGTTAAGGCCCTGATTATAAACGCTTTTTCGAAATATATTTGAAAGTTTTTGAAAAGTTTTTGAACTTTTTTTTCTTTTCTTTTTCTTTTCTTTTTTCTTTCAAAAACTGACTCAAAAACTTTCAAACCACCTCCGGAGGTGGTTTGAGATCTCAAAAACTTCAATTTTGCAAACAATACACAAGTTGAGTTGGTATTGGCCTGTATGGTATGTATCAGGTCATACAGATAGGCCTATTCCTCAACTCACTCCAGTCCGAACTTGACACAAGTCTCTGGCTGCGGCGGGCGCATCTGGCAGCGTAGCGCTGGCCAGGCGGTTCCCGAAGGGAACTCCCGCAGGGGAGACTTGGGCCAGAGGTCGATGAACTCAGGTGCTGAGTTTGGATTGTTTTGGTGAGAGCGTCACAAGATTTGAAATCCTGACGCTCCCTCAAAACTCTCTTGATGTTTGGTCTGGAAATATGAAAGACCTGCCTGATCTTATTGATCAGGCCAAAACTTAGAAGTTGCTCCTCGCAACTGTAATTAATAATAATTTTCTAAAATATCAGTCTGCAAATCCTCTTGGGGGTAGACTAACTCATCCGACAAACTTTTTCATGTCAAAAACCTTATGTATATAATCTGCATAATTAACAAACAAACAAAATGAACCATATCACCCGACATAATCTCAGAATTACAACCTCTGGTCGAAATTCAACAAGCCATCGTTTCATCAGAATCAGTACTGGATGACTTCCCGTCAACATCTGCGGGGCTCCCAGTTTCGATTTAGAGCCGAAAAAGCTAGATTTCCCTGCAAAAATCTAGACTTTTTGGGTCTAAATCGGAAACTGCGAGGCTCCCAGATCCGACGGGAAGTCCTCCACTACTCCTCTCGACACCAAACCCTCCATCATTACAAACAAGGAAAAAACGATTGTTCGAAAAGTCTCGGTTAAGAAAAATAAGAGGAATCGCCTCATACAAAAGGTCTTCAGGCACGATATCTGTATCCCAAAGAAGTCTGGTCTCCCCTTGGTGGTTGGCGGACTCAACCAATTAACTGGAGATCTAGTACTGCCATCATCATTGCAGGGAGCATGCTTGTGTTCTACAACGTCTTCAAACTTAGCGCGGGGTCAAGACCAATTGAAGGAAGTCAATCGTTCAAAACTCCTTGGTCGGCTTGTTCAAAACAAAATTGACTCGTTGGAAACGGAACCGGCTCGCTTGTAACGGAACCGGCTTGCTCATAACGGAACTGGCTCGTTTGAAACGGAACCAACTCGTTAGACACGGAACCGACTCCTTTGAAACAGCATCGGCTCGCTTGAAACGGAACCGACTTGTTCGAAACGGAGTTGGCTCGTTGAAACATAACCGACTCATTCAAAACGAAATCGGCTCGTTTGAAACAAGCCTCAGTCGAGACAAAAGATAGAATATCTGTTGAACACCGCTCCTGTTGACCATCAATCAACTCCGATCCTCATTTCCTTTTTCATATCACATCATCTTTTTCAACATCTTCCTCAATTCAAGAGTGAGTATCACTATCAACAATCTGACATGTATTCCTTTATTTTTGTCTTTTTCTTTCTCTTGTTGACCATGGTAATCTCACCTTTTTGTTTTTGTTTTTATTCCAAGTCTAGTGTCCTAGTTCTAGTGGTGGATTATTACACTTTCTGTGCTTTTCATCCACAAGATAGTTCCTGATTTCATCAGGTATTTTAATTAATTAATTTATTGTATTTTTATTTGTTGTATTTTAATTTTATTTACACTGAAATGCATTTTGATTAGCCTGAGACTCGAATGTACTGTCTGAGCTCTTGGTGGATGAGCTTTAGAATATCTTGGCACAAGGTGACTCTTTATTTGCTTGGGATTTTAAGTTGGCTAACTCGTCCGGAAGAGACTCACCACGATTGAGAGCAGCGATCTTGTCAATGGCCAAACAGTCCGCAATTCTTTTACTGGTATCAGAATTTTCCTCATTGCTAGAATCATCCTCGATGGGAATGGACCGTTCGGTCTTGCTTCGATTCATCTTGTTGTTTGCACCGGTAGTGCCGGTTGAGTTTTTCTTGCTCCAATTCAGCTCGCTGAAAACGGTCTGATTTCTCTCTTTGCAAACGGAAGGGGCGGTAGTGCCAGGTTTTGGATCCGTTTTTCTGATTTTTATGAAGGATGAATCAATCGATCGAGAGCTGCCTTCTCTACTATCCGACTTGAGTTATCCGGCTGAGACCAACGATCTCATTTGTCTTTTCAACAATCAAGTCGTGATGTTATACAGGGTTATGCCAGTTATGATTTCAATTGGCTTATTAATTAAAAACGAATTGTTGAAAAATAAATGCAAACAGCGTGCAATCTAACTTAGCATCGGTAACTCGAGTCGAAAACCAATCGTTTTCAAGTGCCCTTACAAGGATAGCGAAAAAAGATAAAAAAAAACTGAAGACACGAAAAGAAGGGTAAGAAGCAAGCCTTCATGGCCTGGGAAGGAAATTATGTACATGTCGATGAGACGACGGCTACAAAGGGATAAAGACAAAAATCGAGGTTTTCAACCCAAATCCACGAACTCAGCACGCGGGCATTGTCGCCTTATGCATAGGCCTCCACTGCGTGACAGCTCCGCTGCTCGCTCCCGCTCCGCCGTGGAGCCTAGTAGCTCGACTCTAGTCGGACATCCTGTCATCA